GACAGGTAACTCTATTGGTAACAAAAAAAAAGAAAATTGATACAATGGAGCATATGAACTTTGTTTTATACAAATTGAACAATAAATAATTAATCTAGGACTGAAAAACTGAATTAGCCAATGGCGACCAAGGAAAATTACTGAGACAAACAAAATTCACATTTTTGCTCAAGTCAGATGACTCTTTAATTCTGTGTAAAACACGACTAAATAATATTCATAAATAAAAAAAAAATTTGTAAAAATTTTAATTTTCTAAATTTTCTAAATTTGACGAAAATAAAAAATCATAAGTAGTGTAGCTATGTGCCTTGTCTCTGGCTATGCCAAAATGTATCGAAAGTTAAAATCCAACGATTATTGTTAAAATTACTGCTATATTTTTTAAAATTACTGCTATATTTTTTAAAATTACTGCAATATTTTTAGAAATGATAGCTTTGGTGATTTCGGACATTTCGCATTGTCGCAGAATGTTCAAAATAGCTTTATCCTACACCCACTTTCCCAGTAAAACCGAAGAAATCGTAACGATGCGACAAGCAGTTGCTGAGATCTAATCAAAATGGAATTGGAATAATAATAAGAAGAATAATAATAATCTTAATAAAAACAATAAAATGGCAGGAAAATGTCGATCAAGTAAATTGTGTAGTGGGATAATCATTTGGAAAATTATACAACCCCAAATTGCACGGTTATTAATATGAAATAAAATGGGCTTTAACATCCGGCTGTTCTGCTTCTACTGGGCTAATTAAGACAGGCATACGCTATACAGAATGCTATGAGGGAAATTTTGCCCGGGCAGCGGCACTATGGCCTACTCTTATATCGAATTCCAACTGCCAAGGCAGCTTTTACTCCAATTTATAGACGGGTCCTCAGTTGATCGGCCCATCCGAATGATTAGACATCTGTTCTTGTCAGGGCCTCCGTTCTGTACCACTGACAAAGGGAAAAAACGATGGAAAATGCTGATATTTATGCGTATATATATTGAGTAACATTGCACCTGGGCAAAAAAAATTGGGAAAATAAAGGGAAATAACTGAGACTTGATCTAATTGAATTAACTCCCTGTTCCAGAAATTTACAATATGGATCATTTCTTTTTTTATTTTAAAAATTGAAAGATATTTCTATAGTTCAAAGAGCTAGAATAAAGTCACCTGGCTGGGACAGCAGGTGTTTCCATATATCAGATAAAATCAAAACCATGCTATTTACAATATTGCGCAAACCTGAAACCCCCCAAAATGTCAGAAACTGTTCGAATATATCATATTGCATAGGTTTAATGTCAGAGAATTTACTTTTTTCCTGTAGGTTACGACACTTACGAGCTTCAGTCTAATATCCCTAGACAACTTGAATTAGGTTAAAAGGTGAATTATCGAAATAATTAACAGCAATGGCTTTACAATCTGGATAATCTGCTCTGCTAAGCTTTAACGTAGCAAGTATTGAAATGGGCTGAAGAGTGAAGTTGAGTCAACTAATAGACTGCTAAAATATAACGAAAACGATTCCCCCTGACACAAAGATAATCTAAAAATAAAAAGATATTGCTGAGAACGTATTGCTGAAATCGGATTTACGTATTACAGAAGTTTCTGAAAAATCGATCAAGTCGTTTAAAACCCAGAAGGATCAGGAAATGAGCTGATAATGGCTGGAAAAATGCAGAGAAAATATTGAACAATAAACTGAGATAACATATAATGAATCTTATATTTTTGGAATCGGATTGACCTCAGCTATTCGAATATTTAGATCAAGTTTGTAAGTTTTAAAAATTAAGATAAAAAAAATGTCATGCAATTAACCTTCGGAAATAGGAAACCAATTCACGAAATGGCGGCTTATTCCGAGTATTTCCAAGCTGTTAATGCAGATTTTTCACTCGTAAATAACTTTGTCAAGTTAAATGAATCAATCTACTTTCATTCCAAATATCATGAAAATCGTGCTTGGATCCCTCATTTCTCCAAGGGGATTAGAAAATTTCTAAAGACTTTGTTTAAGTTAAATGAATCAGGTCTACTTTTATTCCAAATTTCAAGAAAATTGGCTAATATTAAAGAAGATGTCAAATTTGTTTTTACTTCCGAAACAATATGTCGATGATGTAATTTTTGAAATTCGAAAATAGCAGATTTTCAAAGTATCCAAAGAAATATGAATATGTAAAATTGGTCAAATATTCACATATGTAGGTTAATTCTTTCGTCAGTAACATTTGGTGGTTTCGTATTTGTAAAACGTTTCGAAAATATGTATTCCAAAGCCAACATCCATTCTGGGAGACAGGTTAAAGATTTAGAAAGATCCAAAGATTAGATTCTTGGAATTGAGCTTGACAGAAAGAAATTGTCCTGTAAACCACTTTGTCGGCACGAAAAATGTCAAAGTGGAAATTTTGAGCCGGGCTATCAAGAAATGTAATAATTTCGGTAACAGGAGATGGATTCTCTAAACCAAGACCTATTGTGTATTTTTCAAGCCCATTAATGTGGATTTTTTGCTATTTTTCATTTTTAATTCAAAATGGCGTCAGCCATTTGCCAGAAATCAAAATTCTAAGCGCTACATTTTATGGGCATGCCTTCAAGGATTCGGAAAATAGAATTCCCTTGTCTGTAAGTAAAATATCAAAAAAACTTAAGAGATATTTCACATTTCAAAATGGTGGCACTTCCGGATTGAGCTACAAACTCCATTTTTTTGTGGACACTCTACAAGTAACAATTTTTATCCGATTTTGGCGAAATGAGGTCTTTCTCCCAAAGATCTTGGTTCCTTTCGATATTGGCATGTATTGGAGAGAGAGAGAGAAATGGGGTTTAATGCCCCCTCAACACAAACTAGGTCATTTCGGGACTAACATTGTTTCAATTTTATTTCAATAATTTGCTTGTGCGTAGGGGTCTTTAGCAGTGGAAGGAAACTGGAGGACCCGGAGAAAACCCACGAGGTTGGACAGGCGACCCTACTCCTTGTCACGTACAACCGGGATTCGAAACCATGCCAGTTGACTCAATGACAGGTCTTATGATACAGCGCGCACATTCTAACCACTTGACCATCCGGACCATAACTTCAGGGATCATGGCCCTTTATTGTACGAAAAATCACTATTTTAGCTTGTGGTACCTCTAGAGGTCACAATTTTTATCTGATTTAAAAAAAAACGTTTAGTATGTCACCGTTACAACCTAATGATAGTTGAGTACTAGTCTGGAGGCTCAGCGCGGGGGAGGGGGGTCCATCAAATGGGCACAAAACCAGACTCAACTTTTCTAGAGTAAAATTTTTTGTAGAGTACAATGCCGAGTGGTAATCAGTCCGCCGTTGGGGCGTTTTCGAGATATTCGGGGTCAAAGGTCAAATGGGTTCATTTGCACTGAAAGTGGATGCGCGGTCATTCTTGTATCATGAAAATAAGCTGAAAATGATCGAAAGTAATCACACTTCCAATAAAGAATGTAAACTTGTTAAATTCACCTTTGTTCTTTGTTTCCCCAGAGGTCAAAAGGTCACATTTTCCGTTTTAGCACTAGGAAGATTTAAAGTAACAAATGTCAGCGTAAAATATAAAAACTAAAGGGAAACCTGTTCTAATTAATAATAGGAACATTTAAAATTTATCTTTAGGTGGTCTTAGCACCAAACTTTTACTTTGGAACATCGAAAATGATCTTGCATAACAGAACCAAAACGCATAGGAACTTGTTTCAAAAATACGTAAAAACTGCTAAATCAAAATCTCTCCAAATTAGTTTTACAACGAATGCTATACATAATGATACTAGTTGTCACAATTTTGATCCGATTTTGATAAAACCAAAAAAGCATGTTTATAATCCAAAGATCTTGGTTCCTTTCGATATTCGCACATATCGGATCGTAACTTCCTGAATTATGATCCATGATTGTACGAAAAATTGCATTTTGAGCTTGGGGTCGCTATAGATGTCAAAATTTTTATCCGATTTAAAAAAAAATATGTGTGAATATATCACAGTTGTACACTAATGATGGCTGAGTTTGAATTTCGTGAAAATTGGACAAAAACTGACGGGCATAATGGCCGCCACTTGTGCGGAAATAGTTTAAAAATATGGTATATAAAGGTTTTGAACACTCTAGAGACCACAGTTTTTGTCCGATTTGGATGAAACTTTAAATATATGTTTATTTCATAAAGATCTTGGTTCCTTTTGATAATCACACATATCCGAACGTAACTTCCTGGATTATGGCCCGTGATTGGATTATGGCCTCTACATTTTAAAAACCATTTAGATATATCACCATTCTACCATAATGAAGGTTGAATTTGGAATTTTGGGAAATTGCTATTGTTGTTACAATAATAAACAAAGTCTCAATTATCCATTTTTGCGGTAAATCATGAACCGTAAAAGTTATTTGAATCTACTTAATATTGGAGCCATCCGATGGCACTAAGAGTTGATTATGGTCTTGGTAAGTCAATTAATGTCTAATTAATAATTTATATAACATTTTTCTAAAGAAAGAGCTGCAATAGGCATAATGCCAGTTTAATTTTACTTTTGTGGTCACTAGTACACTAGTGCAGTGGTAGAGAGGTGACATTGCAGTGGCAGTTCAGCAAACTCATCAAATTCCAACTGTCAAGGTTTATTTTACATCCAAACCAATGTGTACACCAGTGGACCTTGGTTTTCTATCCCATGTGATCGATAGGCAACACTTTACTTGTCAACCCCTCAGGCACTACCCCTAATAAATAGGAACCAGGCTTGAAACATACTGAGGTTCTTCTTAGCCCAAGGGGGATTCAAACATTCTAGTGACAGTTCACTGCTCGACTACCACTGTCCCCTTACCTCCTGTGAGTATTTCGTTGTTCTGTTGACATAATAGTCTTAGACATAGTTGAAATGAATACAAAAAAAATAATCGACAGGTTGAGAAATACACACCAAAACCTTTTTTTTTATCTTTTTCAGTATAATGCAATACCAGAAATAAAAGAATATTTTCAGAAAATAATTACAAAAATGAAAGAGAAGTGTAATGTATTTGATCTAGATGCTTTACTTATTAAACCTATACAAAGAATACTCAAATACCCTTTACTACTTGGTGAGCTATTGAGGGTATGTAGAAACTAGTTTAAATGTAATGTAATAACAATTTTTACAACTTGTCAGGTGAAACTCACTAACAGTCTGTCATTTTGTCAGAAGAAAAATTTATCGGCAGATTTTCACCATTTTCGGAAAATGAAAGTAAGGTATATAAACAGCTACCTTTCGTGAATTTCTAATTTACTTGTTATCGTAGGTCTGTATTCTCTAACTTGCATGTTACAACCCACAATCGGAAAATGCACTTAAAAGTCTATTAATCCATACTATTGCTTTTTTATCTGAAAAATGTCACGCTTCAGAGATTTGATATTTTCCTAATAAATCCAATGCCGATACATATTACGCAGCCGCTAGTCGATCAGCTGTTAACATGGAATGGTGTAATTCGGTTGTATGTATTTCAGCATAGAATCTTTTATTACAAATTTGAATGAAAATGTGGTCGTATATTGTTGTCGCACTATAACGCCCTGTCAAGAAAACTCACCAGCTGATGAAAAGAGCCGATTTGAAATTTTTGGACACTCACGAATCAGGCCCGTAGCCTCAGAGGGGCAGTGAATTTTATGGGGGGGGGGGGCTCTCTCCCCAGATAGAGGGGAGTCCACGGGTCATCCACCGGACAATATACATCATCTTTATTATGTTTTTATATGTATATTGTCATCACCCCTGTCTATCCGAACGTCCGTCCATAATTGTTTGTGGACACTCTACAGGTCACAATTTTTATTCAATTTCAACGAAACTTGAAATATAGGTTTATCTCCCTAAGATCTCAGTTCCTTTCGATATTGACATGTATCGGATTGTAACTTCATGGATTATGGCCCCTGAATGTACGAAAAATCACGGTTTTAACTTGTGGACCCTATAGAGGTCACAATTTCTATACGCCCACATTGAAATGTTGTGGTATATTGTTGTCACCCCCGTCCGTCCATCCGGTTTCACAATTGCTTGTGGACGCTCTATAGGCTAAAGTTAATATCCGATCAACTTTAAATTTATACACAGTGTTTAAATTCGGTCCAACTTACGCCAGGCGTCACATAATTAGCTACTGAATTTCACCGACTTAAGCCTGGCGCACACTATGCAACAACTTAAGCGACGAGTCTGGCGACAAATATCGCCGCAATATAAGTGGAGTGAGCACACTACACGATGACTTTGGCGATAACGAAAGAAACACCCTGTCACATGCTTCGTCATGTGACACCTCTAAATTCATTTCTGTTGTCATCGCGCTGAATACGGTGGCGTAGTCGTCTAAGTACAACACCTGTCAAATGCAGTGTGTTTATAGTATAGTTTATAGTTGGGAGACTCTTACATGTATAAAAAAAAAACAGGCTATGTAAGGATGAGTCCAGAAATATTCCAGAGAATCCTAAATATAATCAATGCTCTCATTCTCAAACAACCAACCAAGATGACACAATCAATAAGCCCAGGAAAGCGGTTGACGGTCACTCTCCGTTTTCTCGCTACAGGTACTGATTACCATCTATGAATCCTAGGACTATGTTATTATCGAGTATATTGCTATATAGACGGAACAATCCACCCAGCCTACCATATGTATTTGACAGCTTTGCCAGAATTCCAAACTTAATTTCAATTAGTTAGGGCTAAATTAGAACACCCAAGCCACTTATATATACTGTACATGCAACAGAAAAAAAATTTCGACGAGAAATCTCGTGTGTGGTTATGTCACATAAGAAGAATAACCAAAAATGATTGGTTTAATAGGTGAATTTATTTTCTTCGTTGTCGCTTAACTTGTAGCCGAGATGAGCACATTCTTTGTTGCTGATGAAGCGACGACTTTGGGGATCATATCAAACAAGTCTGATATCGAAGGATGGTCACTGGCAACGAAATATCGCTTGCGATCGACTGCGCACACTAGGCGAGTTTTTGATTTTTCATCGTCGGCGACCGAAATCGCCTATGTCGTCGTGTAGTGTGCGCCAGGCTTAACGCCACCTGTCGACTACCTAACGTCTAGTCAATTTTCCTAACGACGACTGTTGTCGGCCTCTTTGATGTATAGTTTTATTCGATCAATAAAGTTATCAAAAAAGGCCAATTGGCTTCCAAAATGTAGTTATCCAATAAATATATATAGTTTGAACTAATTACTGGAATCATAAAATTTGTAGGTCACATCAAAGGTTTAGGGGTTATAAAGGTCGTAAACTCGTGAGATAATTTCCAAAATGTAGTTATCCAATAAATATATATAGTTTGAACTAATTACTGGAATCATAAAATTTGTAGGTCACATCAAAGGTTTAGGGGTTATAAAGGTCGTAAACTCGTGAGATAATTTGCCCATCAACGGCTGCTGCCGGCCTTTTTGATGTATTGTTTTATTGATCAATAAAGTTGTAAAAAAAAGACGATTGGCTTTCCAAAAGTAGTTATCCAATAAGCGTATAGTTTGAACTAATGATTGAAATCATAAAACATATACCACAGAGTAAAAATACACAGAATGGCGACTCGCATTACGGCCCATAGAAACACTGCACAATGCATCTTGGGAATTGTCTGTAATAAACTCACACTTGACAGTTGGCTCAACGACGTGACAATATCAATATCGATGAACTAAATCTCTTTAATTTTGTAGTTTTATAGTATTTTTGGTAACAAAACTACCAAGAATTATCACATTCAATCATACGTTAGTTGTGTGTGTTTTTCAAGAATTTATAAAACATGATTCATATTTTTAAAACATGCATAGATAAAGCCTGGTACAGCCCGGAATGAAGTGAGAGAGGACAGTCTGACGGTTAATGAATTGGTCTATAAGGCAGTAAATTATTATCGATTTTAAAAAGTTTTTATTAGGGTTTCACACTACGTAGCTTGTGTGAAACACTATTGTTTTTGTTAAGATTATTATTCTTCTTATTATTATTATTTTCCCACAAATATCTCAGAAACTATTTGTCGGATCGACTTGATGTCTTCGGTTTTAGTGGGAAAGTGGGTGTGACTTAGAGATTAAAGCTATTTCGAACTTTCTGTGATAATGCGAAATGTCCGAAATCACCAAAGTTGTCGTTTTTATACGCCCACATTTTCATGTGGACGTATTATGCCATCGCCCCTGTCCGGACGTCCGTCTGTGGACTCTCTACAGGTCACAATTCTTATCCGATTTCGACGAAACTTGAAATATAGGTGTATCCCCAAAAGATCTCGGCTGCTGTCGATATTGGCATGCATTGGATCGAAACTTCATGGATTATGGCCCCAGTTTGTACGAAAAATCACGTTTTTAGCTTGTGGACCCTATAGAGGTCACAATTTTTATCCAATTTTGTTGAAACTTGAAATGTAAGTTTATAACCCAAAGATCTCAGTTCCTTTCGATATTTGCGCATATCGGACAGTAACTTCCTGAATTATGGCGCCTGATTGTACGAATAATCACGTTTTTAGCTTGTGGACCCTATAGAAGTCATAATTTTTATCCGATTTAAAAAACGTATTATTATATCACCGTTACACCCTAAGGACGACTGAGTTTGAATTTCGTGAAAATCGGCCCAAAATTGACAGACAAAATGGTCGCCGTTCGTTCTGGAATAGCATAAGAATATGTTATATCAAGGTTGTGGACCCTATAGAGGTCACAATTTTTATCCGATTTTGTTGAAACTTGAAATGTAAGTCTATAACCCAAAAATTACATTTTTAGCTTGTGGATCCTATAGAGGTCATAATTTTTATCCCATTTAAAAAAACGTTTTATTATATCACCGTTACACCCTGAGGACGACTGAGTTCGAATTTCGTGAAAATCTGCCTAAAATTGACAGACAAAATGGCTGCCGTTCGTTCAGTTCCTTTCGATATTTGCGCATATCGAATTGTAATTTCCTGAATTATGGCCCTTGATTGTAGGAAAAATCACTTTCTTGTTAGGTTGTTCTTTATCCATCTCTCGAAAATGTGGGCATATCCTGCCTGGCAGCCGCTGGTTTGAAATATTGCCGTAATATTAACAATAATTGTCGGATTTTAACATTTGATACATTTTGACATAGCCTGAGACACGGCAAATAGCTACGAATGTTTAGATTTTTGATTTTCGATTAATCTTCGAAGATATTAGACGCCAAATTTTGAAAATTTAAATTATAAATATTTTTTTATGGCGCTTCACCCATAATTATAGGGTCATGTGATTTAAGCAAAAATATGAAAAAATTTTGTATTAATTATTCAACTTGGCCGCTTTTGGCTAATTCAGTTTATGGGTTCTAGGTTAATTATTTATTGCTCGATTTGTATAAAACAAAGTTCATTTGCTCAATGGTGCAAAGTCTCAACTTTTTTATTACCGATAAAGCTTCCTGTCAGCACAGGAAATGACGTAACGTATCCCTAGATACCTATCACTACTACATGTAGTATATATATATCCCCACATACCTACCACTACTACAATGTATGTATCCCTACTTACCTACCATTATGATGTATGCATCCCTACTTACCTACCATTATGGTGTATGTATCCCTACACACCTACCACTATGATGTATGTATCCCTACATACCTACCACTACCATGATGTATGTATCCCTACATACCTACCATTATGATGTATGTATCCCTACTTAGCTACCATTATGATGTATGTATCCCTACATACCTACCATTATGATGTTTGTATCCCCACATACCTACAACTACTATGATGTATGTATCCCTTCTTACCTACCATTATGATGTATGTATTCCTACTTACCTACCATTATGATGTATGTATTCCTACTTACCTATCATTATGATGTATGTATCCCTAAATACTATCACTACTACATGTAGTATATATGTATCCCCACATACCTACCACTACTGGCGTGAATTGAGGAACAGCGTACTGTTCAGTTTGAGTGAATTTACGCGACGGCTTTGTGTACTAAACGTTAAAAAAACCCATAAATTTGTGTTTATGATATCCTAATAAACAG